CCACACACACACCCAAACACCAAACCCAGGACTTCTTATAAGTTCTGGATGAAAATGTCTGCACATACGGTTTAAAGAACACATTTATAATGCAAGTTACTTAACAGTATGAGAGAAGATGGCGGGACAATATTCTGCGAAAGGCGAAGGGAAAAAGAGCGGAAAATGGCGTGTGTGTGGGGGGGGGGTGAATTTTTAAAGTTGTAAACAGTCAGTTTTACGGCAAAATTAGGTCATATGTGTGGCGACGATTAGAGGTATTAATACTAGGGAGTAACATAAAAAGAAAAGAAGGAGGCAAAATAAGGGCGACTGGTTTTTTATTTTTTTTTAAAAGAGAAGAAAACTACACCAGAGCACCCGTCAACCATCCACAGGACTGAACTTTACACAAGCCCCTAAGAAACATCTATACTGTACAAAACAATTCCATCAATTCCAATACAACACTTCTTTACTTCTGAAGTTCCTGATTATTACAAGCCAAAGACTGCTGTTTAAGACGAACGACATGGCTTAAAATGTGGATGAAAGAGGACCCCCAGTTTAGAGACACAGAAAGATACAGAGAGAGAGAGAGAGAGAGAGAGAGAGAGAGAGAGAGAGAGAGAGAGAGAGAGAGAGAATATGTGTATACAGACTAAGACTAATCTAAAATACAGATACACAACAGCACGAGAGTTAGAGACAGAGCGAGTGAGCGAGACGACAGACAGACAGACAGGCAGTCAAGCACGCAGGCAGACAGACAGACAGACAGACAGACAGACAGACAGACAGACAGACAGACAGACAGACATGAAGAGAGAAACAGAGAGCAAGAGCGTTCCTCATGACTCACCACACAGCTGTATAAGGGACAGGAGGTTGGATATGTGCGGGCCGCTGTCTTTGCTGATGTTGTTCTTGATCACTTCATAAATCACAGAAATCTGGGGGAGAAGAGTAAAAAAAAAAACCCCAGCGAAAAACGTGAGAGACATGTAATACTACATGTAGTTTCGTTTTGTTTGGTAAAAATGTTATGGTACTCGCAACACAAATAAGTCATACAAGTGCTGTAGATTAGAGTTACTACTAGCTAAAGGGTAACACACAAAGAAAAGAAGAAGGAGAGATGAGGACAACAGATGTTTGATAGGAGTGAAGAAGCAAACTATGCCAGAGCACCCGCAAACCAAGAATTCGAAATTTTTTACGAATTATACATAAAAACATACCAAAAGAGCAACAATAATTTGTTTTATTGAAAGTTAACTCATCAGTTGGAGTTTTGTTTACAGAATCAAATCGACACGATAACTGTAATTTAGTGCTGAGAAAAACGGAAGATAAGACAGAAACAGAGGAAAAGGGATAAAAGTATGTTTTCTATTGGCCTCCCCCAATCACACCCTACCCCTTACACTCACACACACTCACACACACACACACACACACACATCACACACACATCACACACACACACATCACACACACATCACACACACACTCACACACACATATTCAATATCACAAGACATTACATTTGAACCTAATGCACGACATAAACATATGGGGGGAGGGGGAGAAACATCACTACATATGTTGCTTCTTTGTGTTGTAAAGCTTGAGTAAATGAGAAGCACATTGAGAATATAAAGGCGAATAAAACATAATATAAAGACAAGCGAAAAAAAAAACTAACAAACAAAACCCAACATAAACTGGAAGGGAAAGGGTAAGATTTACAGTGGCACCTTCTAACAACTCGAGTAAAAAAACAACAACCCGACCATTGAAATGATGAAAGAGGCCCCTGGGCTCTCGAGGAAGCAATTTCACTTCTCGCGAACAAACCACCGACTATCGACTTATGTCAACGGGATGGGGACTAAAACATTTTCAGGAAAAGCCGAGCAAGCAGCGGATTGATTCTCTACGGTATGGGGGTCATGACAAAACGGCCAATTACGTCAGCGTCTGTCCACAAGCGCCTAAGCTAAGTCAGTGCTTGCCGACTTGGGGACGAAGTGGTAATTTTGGCGGGCGCTGGGGATTACCCGAGTAACGACAGGCAATATCTAATGGTCCAATGACAATATCATATACATGTGCGCGGGCAGCACGAAAATCTTAGCCTCTTAGAGGTGGCAAAAGCGAGCGCTGGCTTACAAAAAGGTTGACTTGACAAGCACTCACTGGCCTCAATCATTACTTTGGGGGTTTGGAGAAAATAGAAGAAAAACATTAGAACTTGGGCACTAGTTATTTATTAGTTTTAAAAAACTAGGGACGCAACAACGAAGCAGAACAAAACTGTTTTATAAGAAGCCCCTTGACGTCTTTGCTTTATTCGAACAGCAGCTTTATCGGACTTTATCTTCATTCAGAAACAAAAAAAGTAATAATAAATAGCATTTGTATAGCGCATATCCCCGCTCAACAGCAGGCTTTATGTGCTTTACACTATATTATTACCCCAGCAGACCATAGAACACTCCGAAACATTCTCAGCTTCCCGGGAAGCATACAGTGCAAGCAGCTGATTAAGCGCTCAAACACTAACAAACTGACAAGATCTTTCACTATCTATAGCCGGGTACCCATTCCCACCTGGGTGAAATGAGGAAAATTTGTGCCTTTCCCAAGAACACAACGTCAGGCCCCTGACGGGATTCGAACCCACGACCTTAGGGTTGCGAGTCCGAGAGCCTAACAACTAGGCCACCGACGGATGGCGTCAATTTGTTTAAAGTAGGCACGGAACTAATAATCAAGAAATATAATTAACAAATACTATTCTCTGTTCTTCCTAAATGGTACCCAATATCATCTGGAAAAAAGATGTAACTTACCTGTTTCAAGCATAGCTCCACCTTCTTTGGGTCCACGCTCGATAACGAACCAGCTTGTGATACCAACTGTGGAAATAAGACGCAACAACAAACAAGGACTTCATGAGTGAGCATTGTTCCTCAGTCTAATGTATTCTAACTTTAGGTGTTTTTCACTCCCATCAACACATTAACATTATTTAGAAAGCCGGCTGTTTCAACCTTGCCTGTCGAGGCTAATTAGTGCTGTGAGGGGTACCACGTCCTAACAGAGATAAACATCATGTATTTGGATTTTTTAAAAACACACCAAAAAGAATTTCCACACGCGAATCAAACTCACGTCTCCTGCATTACAACAAAGAAGCCACAGCTCATCGGTCTGGCATCATCAGTAAGTGATGAATCCGCCTTAAATTACCACACCTCTTCGCTTACAGCTTCCAACCCCACCCCTTCAATGTTCATCCTGGTTTCACTAAACTTTCTTTTCACACTTGACCATAGCTTAGTGAGCTGCTCAGTCATCTGAAGAGATTGCCTTTTCATCATTGTATTGTGTTATGAAGTGCCACATCTGAACCAGACATTGGCGACCACGGTTCACTTTTCATTTCTTTGCTCAGATGTTCTTACAACAAAACAACAACAACAACAAAAAAAACCACCCTCCAACATATTATTATATTGACCTGGTCTATCCCCGCCACCCATCTGTTCATGTTCTCTTAGTAATATTGCTCTTGGTCTACCACTACCTACTATTATTTTGCATTCTATATTACTTCTTAAAACCCCCCCAGAAATTTGGACATCAATAACTTCAAAGTTCCCCCTGCCCATTTCCGGACAGCAACAGATGCTCAAGTAAAACCCCTTCAACGCCATATTGACACACCTGATACATCATGGAATGGCACAATTTTCCACATCTTGACGAACCCCAAAATGCAAAATACGTATGAAAGGATTTCACAACCCTCGTTTGAACTTAAGAATTTGTTATGCCACGTTAATGGTTGCACACGACATCGAAAACATAGCATTTGAGTTTATAAGAGCCAAAGGAAGGCGCCAGTCATACTCACCACGACAAGCCCTATACTTTTCTGTGTCCCTCGCTCTGGAATGGGCAGTAACAAAACTGGGGAGAGACACAGAACATCTGAGAATGTGTTACATCATCATGAAGTGCCAGAACTGAAACAGACATCGGCGATCATGATTGGTCATCCATTTCTCTGTTTGGATGCACTCAAGACCCCTTTAAAAAAAAAAAAAACACACCTAAAAATTCACCTGACCTATCCCCGACACCCATCTGTTGCTCTAGGTGTACGCCTGCCTCTTTTGCCTTCTAGTTTTTCAAGTGAAAGCAAGGCGTTCAAGGCTTTTACGTCGATTTGCGTGTCCTAAGTTTTATAAATGCGCTACATACAGCTACATTTTTCAGTACTAGGGAAAATTTAAATTGTTACATCAAATAATATTTTCAAAATTATATTTCCTCAACAAAACTGTGAGCCAACACACAGACACGCGCGGGCGCCCGCACCCGCTCTCACTCACTCTCTCTCACTCACTCTCTCTCTCTCTCTCTCTCTCTCTCTCATCCCCCCCCTCTCTCCCTTCAATCCCTCGTTCTTATCTATTTCTCCCTCACCTGAGTGGTTGTTATCGTTGATGTGTTGACTCCCCAGTAGTTCCCGTATGGAGTCCTGGTTGTGGTTCACGGTCACCACCGTCTTCCCGCGCTGTTGGAGGATGTCGCTGGAACACAGACACACAAGGGGTATAGTCATTGTACGATGGGTTTCCACAATGTAGGGGTACATGTAGTTAGAATGCACACGAGCACACACACACACACACACACACACACGTGCGCCCACATACACACAAAACGCGCTCTCCCCCC